GTTAATGATAAATATATCATTATATGCATATACATACACACACACACACATATTATATATATATATATATATATATATATATATATTTATATATATATATAAATATGACAGGAATATAGACAAGTATTATAAATATATATAGATGGTAATAAATACAAAGTAACAGGTACATATTAGATATACATTAAATAAACACTTAGTAATCAGTAAATTATCATTAAAGGTATAATTTAAATTTATGATTAGAAATAATTATATTAATAATTATATACATAAGTAATTCTTAAATAAGGTATGTTCAAACATTTATACTTCCCTTCTGTTCGTTTAATAAAAATGTCTTTAAGTGTATTTTAAAATTCCCTATTGTCTTTAGATTACGTAGTGGTGGAGGTATATTATTCCAACAGTGGGTGGCTGTATATTTGTAACTACCTCTGAAGGCCGCCGAACTATGTCGAGGGACACTTAATATGCGAGAAGAAACACGCGTCAGATACTTATTGTGTTCACGACACCAGTCTAGTTTAGAGTACAGATATTATATCAACTTCATATTGGCTCATAACGGCTATAAACTCATCATGTTTTGTACCTAATGAGCCTGCATTTAGAAAACCAACTTTTAGGTACATAGATTTATTCATTTCTGACGTTCGATAAGCTACATTGAATACCATGCACAATAGGTATGGAGGTTTTAACGTTTACTTTAATATATATATATATATATATATATATATATATATATATATATATATCATATACATGTTATATATTATATACTTATATGATATATATTTATATTACATGATACAATATTTAATATAATACATTTTTTGTTAGCATAATATATCAGTGTTTTCTCAATTTGCACAATAAAATAAAGTGCATTTATAGTGTAACTAAAAATAAAAATAATTATATAAAAATACGTTGACGCAGCACTATATAAAAATAAATGTAATAAAAAACATATCAAATACAGTACACTGGCCGCTAGTGACGCGCAAAAAGACTGAAAATGTATATAGCCACCATAATTTATCCTATGAAACACACAAGCACACAATAGACGAAAGCACTTTTTAGAAAAATTAAAGTCTATTGATCTATTACTATAAAAGAAGACCAGTATGCATAATTTTGCAAATAAGAGGCTATTTGAGTTACAAAATAAAACTTTTAAGATATAGCGTGTAACACAAAAAATGTATATAATCTTGTAGTAAGAGTTTGTTCTCCATATTAAAAGTTTTATAAGAAGCATTAATATTTTTACCCAAGTAATCAAATACTCACTATTATTAAAACAACAAAGATAATATATAATTCAATACATAAAGATGAATACAAAAAGGCTGAGGTGTATTAATCTATTACTATAAAATAAGACGTGTACAAAGGATATGGTCGGTAAGAAACTATATAGGTTATTAAAATATAAATTTAACTTAAATGTGGCATAACATACAGTCTTTATTGTTATAATACAAGTATGTTACCCATAATATTAACATATTTAAATGAAAAATCAATATCTCTCCAAAACCAATCAAACATTCACTATTATTTAAACAACAAAGGTAACAAAATAAAATCTCAATAGTATAAAGTAAATAAACCTTTAACTTAAAAATAGCAAATAGTCTAAAGTGTATTGACCTATAACTACAAAATAAGGCGTGTATAAAGAATGTGGTCGGTAAGAAGTTATATAGGTTATTAAACAATACGTTTAATTTAAATGTGGCATAACATACAGTCTGTAAAATTATAATACAAGTATGTTCGCCATGATATTAACATATTTAAAGGAAAAATAATTATATTTCCTAAATCAATCAAACATTCACTAATATTTAAACAATAAAGGTAATAATATAAAATATCAATAGTATAAAGTATATAAACCTTCAACTTATAATCATCAAAGAGTCTCAAGTGTATTGCGCTATAACTACAAAATAAGGCGTGTATAAAGGATATGGTTGGTAAGAAGCTATGTAATATGTTATTAAAGAATAAATGTGACATAACATACTGTATCCATAAAGTCATAGTTTGTTAGCCATAATAATAACATAATTAAAAGCAAAATTATTATCTTTCCAAAACCAATCAAACACTCACTATTACTAAAATAACAAAGGTAGCACATAAACAGTTTTCTATAAACACTCAACTCAGAGTTAGCAGAAAACACGACTTAGGTCTGTATCGGATCGGATGCGTGTTACGGGCTTTCCGTCTTCTTTTCTTACGAATATTTGACCACCTTTTGTCCAAGTGTAGCGCCAACTTGCCTTTTTTGCTGCTTCTCGTGTCTTTCCAAACAATTTCCTATTAACGGGAGTAAGCCTCTCATTAATATAAATCCGACACGGATCTCCGGGCAACCCCAGTGAATCACTCGTTATGTTGCGTCGCACCCGCGCACAACGTAGGAACTCGTCCCGAACCGCACGCCGACTCATCCGCACCACAATCTTGCGGGGTCCAGTAGACATGAGTTTTTGGGCACTATTGTTATTATTATAAAATGCACGCAAGATACCAGTACGTTCGGCATGAACTATCTCGCGGTGATCATTGTCGAGACCTATCTTTTTAGCGCATAACATCACGGTATTGATAGGGTTTTCACCTTTTTGCTCCGGTAATCCCGATATCTCCAGGTCATTGTCTAGGAGATCCTGACCTCTCTCATTAAGTTGGACCCTAAGTTCACTAATTGTGTCCTCTAGTATTTTAGTGTCGCACTTAATCAGACGATCTTCATATAGTTTTTCCAAATTTGTGACTCTGCAATCCATTTCCTCCAGGTTTTTATTACACGCAAGAACTGTATCCTTTAGCATAGTTATATTGTCCCTGACTTCCTTCAGCACATTCCTCATAGCACTAAGCTCATTTCGAAAAAGACGAATTTCTAATCCTATATCGATAAAGATAATACCATAATGTCAAACCCATAAAGAATGGGTAGGACTACAGTCACCAACTTCTTGGCACTTAACCGATGTGTTGGAATGGTCTCCAGTGCGAGGAACCTTATTTTTACAAGCAGGGCACATCCACGAAGCTGTTATCTTCGTTTTCTCAGAAAGGTTCAGACACCCTCGATGATAGGCTACATCACATTTGCCACAGGTAATACCATCTGTCGCCGCCAGGTAGCGACCACAGGCTCCACACTTGACCATGGTGAGTTGATTGAGATAGACTTATTTATATCACGTTTATTTATTTATGTGCGTAACAGCGGCTTATGTACTACTAGTAGCCGAAAGAAGGCAATGAACACAACACTATTGATCACCACTATTGACCAGATTTATGGTTAACACAACACCCAATTATTAACTATTTTTATAAATAATTTAGAATTAAACTTTAAAAGTTCACTGTAACGGTAATTATTGCAAAAACAAGTAAACTTAACGTTTGTTAGCAAATTAACATGTAACACGATCAGAGTAGTGTTAACATTTAGTAATTATAACGGGGTAGATCGATATTGATGATAGTATTATTTCAGCACTTTTAATGTTATTTATTTTGATTTCGCTTTAATAATGTTCAAATCTTCTACACAGTGTTCTAAATAGTCATTCACACTCACTTTTAAGACTTTAAAGGTTAGATAATTTTTTTTTAATTAAGCAAATTAGAGCACTACACTGACAACAACATTACTCGCCCGACGGTAGGTAGGTAAGCAGCAACATCTGCGAAACATCCTATTTATTTATTTATTCTTTATTGCACCAAATGTTTGTACAAAAGGCGAGCTATCTATCTATTTACCTAAAGTGAGTAGGTGTCTTTTAAACTCACAATTTTCAAAGCTTCATTTTTAATATATAATTAATTATAAAATTTCATAATAAGGTAATATATGAGAATACATAATTCTATTATATAGAATACATATTTCTAATATAATGCAACTAATATACCGAATAAAAAAATTAAAATACATTTATCGTTGTACGCCGTGTGTATTTCCATAAAATATTTTATTACTATTGAAAAAATAATACTACGTTCGTACAGTAGGTAGCGTCTTGCATATTTCTTACACGATATATTGTAGCGAGAGTCGGCGGACCGAATACTCAAGGTCGTTCGCTAGGAGTAGCCCCTTAATTTCAGCCACTGAATTCCACCATCTAAATACTTGAAGATCTACCTCTGTGTTATTTACTAGGATACTTCTTCATCGCACGGCTTCTTTGTGGAATTGTTTACAACCAGCGTATATTTCCAGAACGATATGACTAAGGGACCTTCAAGAAACGAGCTCACTCCTTGTTAAAAGACTGACCATGTACCTGCAGTTCCCATGGTCCACCATCAGGTGAGCCACATGCTCGTTGGCCCCATCTATTATAAAAAAACTACCGGCACGAGTCTAAAAATATACAATATAATAGGTCCAATGGCCGGAGAGGGGATTTCGCGGGAACTTCATCACATACGGATGGTTGCTCTTGAATTATCGTTCATATTATGGTTTGAAGTGTATTTTGATCCAAAATCTTCGCATCTGTCGCTTCAGCGTATTGTGAAACATTTAGTCAATAAAACAAGCATCATACGAGGATGTATGGTCTATGACCATTGCCTGCCATTGCATTGGCAAATCATAACAACTAAACTCAAAGGCGGGAAAACGGCAAAACTTATGTCAAAGTCAATGTCATATTGACTTGATGGCTCACTGAACACAAGCAGGAAGAAAACAGGTGCACATATAAAATGCCGACAACAAGAACTTGTGAACTTAAATAATAACGAACACATTTCTATTTATTAGATTGTATACGTATTTGGTATTATAATTACAGATTTTTCACCACATATTAAGATCTTGTACGTTTTGAGAAACTATGAGCTCCCAAAATATTAAAGTTATTTCCATTCCTCTAATGTTTGTTTTTTATATTTGTTTATTGCAACAAGAATATTAATTATTTAATTTAAATCCTTAGGACATGCCGCGTACTACCAGAAGATCTTTGAAAACCCTTCAACATACTGCCACTGACACTGAAAATTTGGTGGGTAGACCATCAAAGAATTTGAAACATCAATTAAGCCAAGATACTCCTGTGTAAGTATTTATTTGCTGATATTACTAGATTACGATTTAAGATTCCATTAAAATACTAATGTCTTATTGTGTTATAGAGATGTTGAAGTCAAAAGGAAAAATATATCCAGTAAGGAAACACAAGCGAATCTTGATAACAAAATATCTGCCCGCGATTTAACCGATCCAAATGGAGCATCCGAGAAATACTGGCAAAAGCTTGCTGAAAAACGTCAGTGAGTATATCTTATTTTCAAATTAACTTGGTCATTTAAGTGGTGAATTTTGAAAACTTATGGATATTGTCAGAAGAGCTGTGGTAACTCAAGAGGCTAAGACCTTGCTGTAAATTTCACAGTATGCATGCACACTGGCTTTGATCTCCTGTTTGAAAATGTTTTTCGCAGGAGATATGGTGACATAAATGCTGACTTTAACACAGGCACGCATAATAACTGAATTAGATTGTGATGCTTATGCTGTAATATTGTGGATTGGCTAAAATGTAGCATCATAGATAGACAATTATAACACTGCCATACTAAAAATGAACATCTGTTTTGCACATACATTGCCTCCAACTGAGATTTGTGTTTTGAACTCTGAAACTCTAAAGATCATTGAATCTTTGTGTGTATCCTATCCTATAGAATTTAATTGAATAAACGGGCAACTCCATGTCTAAGTGCATATTTTGCATGTGGGCAGGAATAATGTATTTATTCGAGCCATGAAATCTCCCCAAAGAAGTTCAACAGTCCTTTGATGTTGCAAGCAACTTTGGGGAGTAATCCCGGCATGCCGAGATGTTTAGCCCTGTATACAGCGACTTCCGGACACGTCAGCAACATATGGGCCGTGCCTTACATGCCCTGCACAGGGGACTGTCCGTAACATCTATGGTAAATAAATGTTTGTTAAAGTTACAGTGTCCTGTGATAGCACTTGTTACTATCCTGATCTGCGGCTTCCTATCCTATTTATCCCCCCTAAAAGTAAAATCAGCAAAAAAATGTACTACAGAGTACAGAAATAAAATTTTATGCTCATTTCATTGAAATTGATTTTACTAGCTATTTCTTGTTGTGATATGGTTGCTCAGTAGCACAATGGCAGTGTGGTGGACTGAAGAACACAGGTTTGAAGTCCATATTAAACAACTTTGTTAGCTTGACATAATTTTTTTCTAGGTCTGGATGTTTGCCCATGTAAAATTTCTGTTTCTGAAACTCCTCCAGGATTTGGTTGATGTCACATGAAGCTGGTGCTGCAAAATATCACCTTGCAGCTTTGGACTCAATTGAAAGATGTGCTTAGTGTTATTAGTGACCTACATCTGGTGCCGATTATATCAGTTGCAAGTACACATGCAAATTAGTCAGCCTGTTGTTAATTGACAGGATACATTTCGGAGTGTGCACAGTCAGCCAACATTTAATTCTTTTCTCTCCCTTCCATCATTATACCACCAGATTCTTGGGCAGTCTCTCCCCTTTGTTGTTGACATACCACTATTTAAAAAAAATAGTTTCATAGTTTCAGTTAGTCATGTCTTCAATTGTCATTCAATTTGTTTACAATGTCAGGGTCTTCGAGGCAAGTATTAATGGAAAAAAAATACTGGCCAAGTGCTGGTCAGGTCAGACACAATGTAGAGGTAGGGTTCCGTAGTTCCCGTCACAATTTGTGGGCTTCCTTGATAATGAGCATAATAAGTGAGTTTGCAGTTTGACTGCTATAACAACTAAAAATGGGCCCAAATAGAAAGGTAATTGAAGGACTTATTTCCCAATCAGTCTTATAGGGTATGTGGTATTCAAAAAATCTTTTTGATTTTGATAATAATATCCTATGTATCCCGCAAATGAAAAAGTAAAGCTAATAGTAGTTATGCATAATATAAATAGTAAGTTCATAAAATGTTTATTTTTAACAGATTAAAAATCATTACAAAGTTGTTAATGCAGGTAGGTTTAGGTCATTTTCAGTGGAGTTATAAAGAAACTTACTAAACTAAGTGCATTTTATAATAGCATTTAATAATAACATTTTATAATTAGTCGACCATTACTCGTTAACTTCTCAAATAACAGCAGTTTAGTTGGTGGAGGGGAGGGGGGGGGGGGGGACACATGACTAGTGAAAAATACCACTTTAAAGCTAAATATTTCACAAATGGACCCAGGAATCAAAAAGATGTTGTTCCACACTACAAATGTTTTTGAAAGACCTATCCAACGATACCCCACATGATGTAATAGACAGGTAAAAAAAAACCATTCTCCATTAACTTGTATGGGAAGTACCCAAAATAAAAATATTTGTAAGATTTTATTACACAGTTTTCTAGGCGTGATTAATATTTTTAACTATGCCAAATTACAGATTTGTAGCACCAAGGGTCTTTGAGCACTACCACAGACAGATGGATTGACATGGAAAAACTATAAGATTTCTTTGTTGTGTAACTATGGAACCCTAAAAAGCATGAATAGGCCTTTGTTAAGCTAAATCAGTGCACTTTACCATCTTTGCTTACATCACTTACCATCATGTCGGATAATACTCAAACACTTACTTTTATTATATAGTTTAAAAAAAACAGGAAAAAATTTTTTAATGTTAGAAACATTTTACTATGTTTTTATTAACTCTCTTTCGTGTATATTGTCTTGCAACATTGCATCAGGATATTTCCACTTCCATACAAAGCAAGTACTGATTAAAGTTATTATTCAAAACTATCCATTAATTGAATAATATGTCTTGGTTTTCACAATACAAAATATATGTTATAAAAACAAGCTAACTGAATGACTTATAACAGGCCTGGGTCAAATCCTGTCTCTGTCCCCCTTCCCTGTGTTTGAAGTTTTCTTGAAAAAAAAATGTGGTTTATTAAAGCTTTTAATATAATTGATTGATTTTTAAAATTTCACTTGTACCCAGTAAACAGGCATATTGTCGATTATGTTTTAATAATATAGACTCATTATTCCTAATCTCTCTAGATTTTGAATTTAAAATTTTGTTATTATACTCATGATCAATAGAATGCTTAATTATTAACATTCAAGCACCCCTACTCCAGCTGCTTCCACAATTCTATATTTTTATTTTACTCATCCAGTCTATTATGTGGTTTTCCAGCTTTTCCATTGCCCGATTTTGGCTTAACTGGTATACTAGTATAAACCTTTTGCTATATAAAAAAATATTAGGTCCTAAGGATGAATATTTTACTTTCTAAGAGTTGCTTTATTTTTGTAAAACCTATATTACAGAGCCCCTCTCTTCCAACAATGCACAACCAGATGCTCTAAAAGTCTTTGTTGTTGATATACAATGCATTGAAGCAAAGCTATTTGCTTCGTTGTTTATTAAGGTGTACTCTAAGGATGTGTTTTTATTTTCTATGTGTCTCTCCTTCCGTCTAACCACAATATGTCTTTAAGACGCAGGTAAATAGGCATTAGTCAAGCTTAAAGTGTCCTTTACCATTTAGGGCTTATATATATAGTTGCATGGGATTGTGAACAAACATTAGCTCATCATAGGTAAATAGGTAATATTAATCTGTTCATATTATTTACTAAATACAGGAGTGTTATATATTCTAAAACAATATTATTTCTCTTCTATTTGATCTTAAATGTATCCAACAGTTGAATTATTTTAATTATATCTTTATCATTGACTAAAGACTAAAGAGTCCACAAGTTGCACTGACCACTTATCTTTAGCTGGACTGCAAGATCAATGGTCAGTCACACATATTTTTTAGCAATTGTTGATATGCCATCACCACAGGCTGGAGTGAGGTCTTATAATATCCATTAACATTATCCATCACAGCCTATCAAAAGTCCACTGTTGAACATAGGCCTTTCCCTCTTCTATTTCAGTTTCCTTTTGTTGCTTCTTAATAAAATGAGGGATTAATGGATTGGTGTATATTTTTACACTGCCACTAATTCATTACCTAAAAATATAATAAAGTAATCATTTAAAAGCAAAATTTCATTAGTCTTTTGTCTTTGCCTCTAAATCTTGGGCTGTTACAGAGTCGCTTTGCAAGAGGCACTTGATGAAAATGAAAAGCTGCGCAATATAATTGAAGAACTTAAGCAGGAAAATGTTCTTTACAAGCAGATGTTGGATGAAGCTAACAGTTTTGTTGAAGTTATAAAGGTATGCTTAAGCATAATTTATCATGCACATTTGTTTGTATAATTATTTTGCCTATTTTTATTAATCTCTGAATGGAATTAAATTTTTATTGATGTCATTGACAATAGAAAAATCTGAATCGTTAACAAATAATTAATAAACTAGTCTTCTTAAAATCATACATGCCTGTCAGCCAATCATCCTGCTATCTGGCACTAGTTTTTCTTATTGCGGATTAAAACTTTTTGTCCAGTGGATTTTTAAACTTAATTAAGTTTTAAAAAGCTAGTTCATTATTAATTTGTACACTTTCTCTAATAAAACATTCTTTCTAATTTATCTGATAAAACTTGATATTATTAAAGAGTGTTACTTATTTCTTTGTATTTTAGGAGGAATTGGCTAATAGCAGTAATAACGACACTGGTATAGATGTTAATGATGTCAGCCAATCTGACACTACACAAGAAGACGACACAACAAATGTTACAGAATCTGCTGACAACAAAGATAAATAACATATTCTTTGACAACACAGTTATATAAAATTTTTATAGGAACAAAATGCTTTGTAATTGACTATAAACCTTAGATCAAGCAAATTATTTGAGGAATAATGTATTAGTTTGTTTTAGTTTTCTGCATTTTTTAATTTTAATCATCTAGGTACTTTGTTTAAGATTTATTAGTCTGAAAGTATAAAAATTGTCTCTACTAAATTATTTTCTTGATAATATTTTCATTTTCTAGTATGGTAGTTTTTTACTCCTGAGGTCTAATTATTCTTATTATAATATGTAAGTTTAAAAGTTTTCAATAAATAAAAGTAAAACCCAAAAATCATGTAATTATTTAATACATTTTACATCATTGTGTGTGCACTGTGTATACTTAATACTACTGGCAAGTATATATTCATATATTGTTTGAGTATTCTTTGTTCAAAAAAGCTTTAAAATTCTCGTCAAAATTTGTTTCATATGTCCAAGGCATTAAATCAGGATACATAGTTATATCTCTAAGTACATTCACTTCAGCATTTTGAGGCAATACACTTCTTACTTTCTGATTGAGACAACCAGAAACATGTATATAATGGTTCACTATTAATTTGTATATAAAATTTACATATTTAAAATCCAGATTATCATTAGTACTAGGAACCCTTGGTGTGTGGGATTTTATTTCATTTAAATATCCAGTTGTTATTATTGGTACTATGAAATCAGCCTGAAATCAAATTATAAAAAAAATTAGTAATCTATTACTACTTATAATTCTTAAACTAAACTTTTATGTGGAAAGAAAGTGCTAATTGAGTAAATTCGATTCAAGTAAAGATGAGTCTAGTAATATAAGTACAAAATTTTAGTGGCAGTAATAACTATTCTCAAATAGGCAACCAGCAAAAGCAAATTAAGTGAGGATGCATCCAGTACCAATACATCAGTGTGGGTGACATTGTATTGCTGATAAACACACATTTTTAATTAGATCAAGTTAAATAAAATACTACTATACCTTCTCAAAGTATTCTCTTATGAACTTTTCGGGGTTTTGATACACTTCATCTCGTCTCTCATTAAGAATGACTATAGTAACACCAGAAATATCTGTCCAGTTGTCAACATATTGCTTTATATTAGCGGCAGTTTGTAAACCATCCTCAGTGAATGTTAAAAATAAAATTGGTTGTTCGTTTTCTATTTTCTTAACATCAGGTTTGATTGGTGGCCTTAATGTAGATCGATTAGGTTTATTAGGTTCTTTGCCTTTTACAATTATATTTTTATTTAAAGCTGGAGGTAAATCATTTGTTAGATTTTTTGTGAAACTTACAACTTCTTTTGTACCACTAGTTTTGCCTGTGCTATGATAGCCACTATCGTCTTTGTTGAAACATTGGGCCAAGTCACAGAATGGATCTTCAATAGCTTTCAATATGTCATACCGTTTCATTTTAACTAAAGCATCTAAAACTTTATCAAGTGTTGCTTTTTCATTTTGCATAAAAACCTTTAGGACTGTGTCAGCCGGATCTTCTCTAACAGAATTCATGATGTACTAAAACAGATTTGTTAATTCAAAAATAAATTTCACATTGCTGTTACATGTATTAGGGATAATCCATTAATCACATTGGGTCTTAGGCCACTTTTAAATCTCTTCCCCCTTGATGATACATCATAAGGTTTAAGGCTAAGATTTTTTAATAAAAAAATATAAAATTAGATAGGTATAGTTATGAAAGGCAAATTATTATACAAATCACACATAAATTAACATGTTTCTAATGTTACATCATTCCCCTCCACCCCCACCCCCCTTTATCATGACAGATCGTGATTTTTTTCTGACCTTCCCCCATGTCATACTTCATACATTAAACTATCCTATTTTGCTCACATATTGTGCTGTTGTAATAATTAATGATAGGGTTTTACATTTTACAATTTGTGGGAGTCCACAACTTCATCCTCACCTTTCTTTCAATTATTTTAATTATTGGACGAGATAAAAAGTGAGATTTCTAATAGCTTACAGAAAATTTAAGTCATAGTTTAAATAGTAATTAAATTAGATTATAGGAAAAATTGATCATTATTCATATAATATTTACTCACATCCAAATCATCCTGAGATATATCTAATAAATAACCAAGATCCCTCCATGTGTTTGGTGTACCTCCAATTTTTTTAACTAATGTTCTCCATGCTTCGTGACAAGTAACTCCTAACTTCGTTTTTGCATTTCTGTAGTATAGAACACTTGTGTGGAGATTACTAACTTTTGGACTAAGTGCATTAAGTTCTGATAGTTCTCTTGTTCTTTCTTCTTGCACAGCTTCTTCAAGAGCCAATGTGTCAATACTGATTGTGTCTGCATTTTCATAATCTTTTAAATAATCCCTGGAATTATAATAATAGGTATTTAAAAAAATTAAAAAAGAGTTGTCACTGAAACGTTATAGTACACAACACATACTGACATTCCAAAAATATTATTTAAAAATAGCTAAATATAAATAACACAAGAGAATATCACAGTTAAAAGATAGTTTAAGGGTAGATTAATAAATCATTGGATACATCTTTAGAAGAAAATGTTCATTCATAGATAAATAAATATGTAGAAAATGTTACATTCAATGTTAATGTCAGTGTCAGTTTTTGTCATATTATGTCAAACCTTCCTTATATATTACTATACTCTTTGTGTCAAACGTTAGACAGCTGATTGACCACAGTACTTGCAAATGGACTAGTAACAGAGTTCATATCATACCTAGTACTTATTAGTTTGTGATTCATACTTTCTAATAATTACCTGAAATGTGTATATACGAAAAGAATACTTGTGCGACAACTTAGATTACTTAAGCCCAGGGTGATTCAACTCTTTATGAAATCCGAGAAACTTGCACACAATCATAATTTTATCTATGCGCGGATTGGGCCTATAAAATTAAAGCGAGAAAAAGATATCGCTATTTCTTTCTTTCGCGTTGTTTCAGATTGTCATTTTAAAAATTAGATACAAATATGTTGAAGGAGGGTATAATTGGTTGTCGTTAAAACCACTATTGCCTTACATGCTGATAATTTATTACAGATCACACACTTATTTGTACCAACTTTAATTACACAATTCACAAAATGTTTACACAAATATTTGTTAACAGCTTAATTACACAACTCTCACAATTATTTGTACACAGATTAATTAGTTCATTCACAATATAATCATTTCACGTTTATTGTTAAGTATTTGACCATGTTTTACTTCACTAGAACACTCACAACGTTTACGTGACACAACTATCTCGATCGGCGCTAGAGAGTAACTGCCCGCAGCACTTTTTTTTTTTGCGCCCAGAAGCAGTTGGAAAGGGCTACCCCGATACGCGAGGAGGCGGTAAATGCTTTATGCATACCACGACAGCCGGTCTGTCGTGGGACCCTAAGTGATACTCGCTAAAAACCGCCTGTGGGACTGGCAATTGGCTGATTAAGCCTCTTTACCGGATCGGAAGCGACCCTCTTTTGCGAGAAGAGGACGCAGGCGGCTACAAAGAGCCGCTGAGGGAGAGCCTACTTAGGCAAATTTAAAAAGAATCGGCCTGAGCCGCCAGGAGGCAGTTCAGGTCGGTTGAAATTTTATTTGGCGGGTCCGAGAGAGATTCTCGGCTTGCGGACTCGATAGCGAGAGGGGTGTGGGGCTGCATAAGTAGCTGCCTCACGAATAAAATGACTGCAATGAGACTGAGGCTTTGAAGAAGTTCTCAGAGAGTGGTTTTAGAAATTGTTGGATTGTAGAGAGCTCTAAGTCTCGATGGAGGTCGGCATTACGGATGTACCAAGGTACGTTCGTAGCTCGACGACAGAAGAGGTTTTGAACTACTTGGAGTTCATTATTATCCACTACCCCATATCTTCCCGTGGGTGTCGTAAAAGGCTACAAAGGGAAACAGGCAGGAGATGGGCAGCAGCATCTTCCTGACAGTAGCCGAAATTACAATAAAAATAACTGCGGTTGCCAACTCGCTCGCCAAGCGTGGCAACTATGGCAAATGATGAATGATGAAGAGAGTAACAAAGAGACGGCCCCCAGACCCCGGCGGCCCCGCTATTCCTGGCTACGGTGGCGACCATGGTGGGGCAGGGGGTGCTAAGAATCTCCGGTGGAGGTTCGGTCGCCACCTTAGACGACTCAACCTGGCAACGTACAACGCACGCACCCTGAGGACTGACGAGAAGATCGTAGAGCTGGAAGAAGAGATAGACAAGTTACGCTGGCATATTATAGGATTATCTGAAGTCCGAAGAGAGGGGGAGGACACGGTAATTCTCGAATCCGGCAACTTGCTCCATCACTGGGAGGGCGACCATCTGTCCCAAGGAGGTGTCGGATTTATCGTCCACAAGTCCCTCGTTAACAACGTTGTAAAGATCGAGAGTGTGTCGACGAGGGTTGCGTACCTTATACTCAGAATCACCAAACGGTACTCGCTGAAGGTCATACAGGTTTACGAACTAACCTTGGCACACCCCGATGAGGAGGTGGAGGAAATGTATGAAGATATCTCTAGAGCCATGCATTCCTCCAAAACCCAATATACGGTGTTAATGGGAGACTTCAATGCAAAACTAGGCATAAGAGAGAACGGTGAGCTGAAAGTAGGGAAATTTGGAATAGGGCAACGGAACCCAAGGGGCCAGCAGCTGGCCGACTTCATGGAGAAAGAGGGACTCTTTATGATGAAATCTTTCTTCCAAATGCGGCTGTTCTGTGATGTCTCAACAAGCTCGTGGAAACTATCCATGTGGTCGGAGCTAAGTTCTGCAAGACCCGCCGCAGAAGAACACAAAAACTCTCCAATCACACTCTTAATCTCATGGCTGTTAGACGAGAGATGAACCTACATTCTTCAACAGATTTGACAGCATACAGGCAACTGAACAGACAGATCTCCAAATGCATGCAGCGGGACTTACGCAACTTCAATACAGCTTGTAT